ATCAGCCACTCCTCTGAGCTTTGTGTTGTCAGCAAACTTGCTGAGGGTGCACTCCATTCCATCATCCAGATCATTGAGGAATAAGTTGAACAGGATTGGACCCAGTACTGACCCCCAGGGGACACCGCTAGCTACAGGCCTCCAGAGAGCTCACTGCTATCCTCTGAGCTCTGCCATCCAGCCAGTTCTCAACCCACCTCACTGTCCACTCATCTAGGCCGCACTTACTGAGCTTCCCTATGAAGATGGTTTGTGAGACAGTGTCAAAAGCCTTGCTGAAGTCAAAGTAGACAACATCCACTGCCTTCCCTTCATCTACCCAGTCAGTTATTCCATCATAAGATATGAAAAGCAGTATCAAAATACTTAAGAATAGGATGATATAAAATATGTAGCTTACATGGAAAACATATCCACATAGCATTGGTGTAACACTTTTAAATGGCATGTGTTGGGACTACGGTCCTTTATGGTATTACTTTTCCTGAAGAATGTGTCCCTCCCACATGCACTATTTTGCTGAAATTAGTATTTACCACTGAGTGCTGCTTCTCTTTCAGTCTGCATTTTATATTACTCAGTTCCCCATATATGTACAGTCAGAACACTTAAACCTAACAATCACATCCAAACCAATATTGGTTCAAAATAGCTCAAAGTAGACCTAGTCATTTCATACTTCTGTCATGAGAATAACATAAACCCATTGTAACTTATTTTTCCAATCTTAGAGTTGTCTATATCAATATTTCTCTCATCTTATACCTTTTCTGCTTTCCATACCCTTTATTTTCTCTTGCTCCCATTTTTCTATTTTGCTTTTTCACAGTTTTTGTGTGTGTTTTTACAGTTTTTCCTCCTGTGTTTCACTAGTCTCTTTCCCAATTTCTTTCTTTTCTCCTTTGAATGCTTCCTCCTTACTCCTGTTGCGGATGTGTTATGGTGGAGTCAGGTAAGCTGCAGTTTGGTTGTTCATTCTGCTGCTGCATCAAACTTCAGCAGCTACCTTCACTCCCTAGCTCTCTGCTTCCTTATCTGGAAGAACAAGATAAGTAAGCTGATCTCCTGAGCTTTGAGACATACCGGTAGGAAGCTCATTTAAGCACAGTTTTCCCATCTATTTCATCTCTTCTCTACCTCAATTACTTTCTCAATGAGTTCCATTGTTTTCAGCTCCTCAGCTAACTCTTAGGTTTCATTCTTCCCTCTTTTCTCCTTACAACAGTAACATTTTTAATGTAGAACTTCAACATATCATAGTTATTACTGATATTCACATAGTATGTGGGTTATAGGCCCTTTACATGCACTTTGTCTCTACTTTAAAGGGAACCTGGAACAGTTCGTGGTTCCACTGATTTCAGCTCTGATCACCAAAGAACTCAGATGATGGTGCAACATCTGCTTTTAGTTATAAAAATGATCAGAAGAATCATAGAAAGATGAGAAATGTGGGTTGAGCAAAGAATGTCCAGTTATGAATGCCAGTTATGTTGTCCTACGAAACCCTGTAAATTGAAAATGTGTGCATGTGAAGCCAGCCCTCCAACATCCAGTCATGAGGTTAATTTAAGTCATGTGTCCCTAGTACTTTTGGGAAAAGACTCAGACAATGAACAGTTGGGGAGTATAATGCTAACATCAGTCAGAAATCAAATGTTAGACGTATTTCCACTATGCTCTGAGGAAAAGATATGCACTGTCAGCATAAATGCATTTCTACATACATGACTATTTGCTATGAACCTTTTCTTTTTTCTTTTTTAAATCTCTGTCTATTGGCATTAGAGGATCTTAATCACCTTCAGTGAAAGAGGAGGAAACCATTAAAGCTTGTCAGTGTTAAATACCTTTGTCTACAGTGCCAGAAGTGCTATTCAGTAAGTTGTGAAGTATAACTGGCTTGGTCTCTATGGCTGTAGTAAAATAAATGCAGATACCACTATTCTGATGTTATCCTCTGGAACAAAATATTTATACTCCATAACTGTGGAAATGATGTAGAGCATTAAGGTAACGTGAAAAAACATGTAGTATTTATGGATTGTAAAGCCGTAAACTATAGGCCATATTAAACTAGGCTAGAACTTGTTGGTTCATAAAAGCTAAGCAGCATTGGATTTAGCTAACCTTAGATGGAAGATCAGCCAGGATAGATAAAATAATTGTTTGAATACATCATCACTTTTTACAAACTCTTACTCAAGTTCCAGTTACATGCTGACTTTATAGCTGTATCACTGCTGATCACTCTAAAATCCCATGGCACTATGTGAAAGAACACATTACCTCTGATCTCCTGACCAATCATCAATTCAGATAATCACAGCAACAATTCAGATAATCACAGCAACAACATCTTTTATACATCTTGTAGTTCTAACTGGAACCACTGATTTTACTCACTGTCCCAGACCCCAATTCTGTATTTTGAATTACTGTAGGCTGTTAGGGAGCTGCTGTTTTCTCTGATCTACAGTTCAGCTGAGGGCTTCTTGAAAGATGCAATTCCAAGAAAGTGCTGGAAGCAGACCAGTAAAGATATTGCTGGTGATTTATTTTGATTTTTACTCTTCAGAGGAGAAAAAAAAAAGTGATCACTGGATGTAAGATTAATAGAAAAAGTGCCCTCCCCCAAACAAACAAAAAGAACGAAACAACAACAAAATGAAACAAACACCAAAAAAAAACCAAAACCCACAAAAAGCAAGTTGTACTGAATACTGAATTCAAAATATCTTCTAAACTGCTGGCATTGAAAAGTATTACCAGTATGCAAAGTTTTCCTTTGTTCTATAATAAGAATACAGTATTGTCAATGAAACAAATAGTTAACTTGAATTTATGCAAGAATATGACTTGAAAATCTATCAGGCCTTTTTTATATTTATTTATTTATTTATTTTTTTTTTAGAAAAACAAAGTACCACTCAATGAAATGGAAAAATAAACAGAAATGGAAGAAATATGAAATTACAGAAAATTTAATTTTTCACATGAATCACAATGTTCCCATGGTGTGCACTGTCAAGCATATTACTGAGTCAGGAATTTAGCAAGATGCAGAAAACAACTGACAAAAATAAACAAAGTAGTAATAATAATGATTCTCTTAAGAGGTCTCTAAGGAAGCATACCAGTTTTAACCCTTCCAAAGGGGACCACATCACCTCTAATTATTTGAGAGTAAGAGAAAAATTTCTCTGGGGAAAACTTATTTTGTAACTGTGTACATGAAAGTTTCTTTCTGATAAAATTTTTGCTGAACACACAGAGAGTAATCTAAAAGATGTAGGCACGTGGGATTTGTGTGGCAATTCCCCTTATCTTGTACTCTGATAACAATGCTTAGCCAATTGCCTTTTTTTATATATATGTATATGAACTGACCCAGTTAAAGATTAGTGTATCTAATAGCTGTGAGATACTATAATTAGAACATTTTTAATTATTTAACACTTAACTCTTCTCTGGAGCATGGAAATTTGATATAGCAGTTCTGAATACTGGAACAACACCTTGATGGGAGGAACTTTCTGACAGTACTTAGGCTGATGTTTCTCACGTATGTTCTCAGTCTATATTACAGTTTTATATAGGTAGGAAGGCTTGTCTTGGAATCTGTCTTGTTATGAAAAACTGCCAATATCCCTTATCTGGACAAAGCAATTTCAGTTCATCTATCTAAATATATACAGCTGAGCACAATAGAAAAATTATTCAGTACCTAAAAAGTGAAGTGAATTTTAGGCTTATCAACCATGCTGGACTGTGAATACTTAAAATTCAACCCCTCATTTGTTCACAGGACAGCTAGAGTCATTGCCACATTCACAGAGACTTCAATACGTTCTGGAACTGGGCAGAAGGTTATGAAAATAACCCCCCAAAATACTAAATACTACCAAGTTGTGGTATGTCACGTGCACACACACATTCACATGATTGGGACTGCACAACCTGCTTATTTTACATGGGCCATAATACATGATCTTGCCTTAGCAGAAAACATTTTGATACATTTTTCAAGCAAAACTAAACTAAAATGCCTCTCTAAAGATGCTAAGAACAATATTACATGGATGTGCCATGTCACAGGTAAAGCTCATGATTATACCTGCTGTCACTTCTAGTGTCAGTTTAAAAACAAATGAATTTGTAAAAGCATAAGCCAGGCTAATTTTAGGGATGTGAAATCTACCACAAGTGTGCAATTATATCATCAATTTACTTGATCACCTTTCACCTCCTTTGTAAAAACTGAAATACTAAAATAGTTAATTCTTTCAGCTGCATTGACAGCATGTTATACATGTATGTTTAACACTCTTCTGTTGGTAAACAAACGCCTTCTTTTTTGCACACACCTTGCAACTCTCCTGCGATTCCCAGGTCCATGCATAGCTTTCTCTGTAATCTCCTTTACATCTTATGTGACTATCTCAGGCACTGCAGCACGACTGGTGACACAGCTGAAAACAGAAAGCATGCAGTAAAACAGCTTGAAACACTGCCCACATGAGGTTTACATAGGAGACATACTCTTATTGCTATAGATCTGGCATTCACCAGTGACCAAGTTTCAAGCTAGTGCCCGTACAAAGGCCCAGGATTTAACCCGGCCATTGTACATTGATACCTGTGTACAAGGAAAGTAGCCACAGGAGGTGGTTACAAAAGGAAAGCATTATAGAAAACCATAATCATTTTTCCCCCTCACAGCCCTGGGCTAGACTGAAAGCTCCCTTTTGGAGCACTTCCCTACTTTGCTGATCAAATTTTGCAATCGTACCTCTGCTGGAATTTTAGTTAAATACTTCCCTGAGACTGCTGCATATTCTGAAAAAATGGGGACAGACATTCTGCCTTCTCCTTAGGACTGAGATGTTGAAGAGCATTACTGAGAGGGCACCTTACCCCTTCTAAAACATTAGCAGAGATGATACTGATGTACTTAGCAAGCTTCTTTCATTCAAACACTAATCCCTGAGAACCCATTTTGTGAGGGAGCAAGCTTCCTGCCTTGCAAAGCACCTGTGAGTGCTCTGGTGCAGGTGCTACAAGTAGGAGCCCTGGTTGCTTGTGGTGTAGGTGGAGGTCCAGGGTGGTTTACAGCTGCTGCTCCTCTCCTGCAGGCATTAAGACATGAGTGAGTGGGAATGTGTGTGGGAATGTTCCCCTTGTGGGGGTGCTTGCAAGAGCTAGTTGGTTGTACTATTTTTCCTTCCTCTGGTTGGCTTTGAGATAATCTTTCTAAGGGATTGTGGTTTTTCAGGAGGGATGTGCTGCTAGGCCTCACTCACTCTCCTCTCTTGATATATGCAGTGGGTGTAGGGGTTCCTGTCCTAGGCTGCTTCAGCTGGGACAGTTGTCTGTAGCTCTTGTGCCCCCTAGGTCAAAAAAGAACCTTGCAATGGTTCTTCTAGTGCTAAGGGGCAGAGAATGATGTGGGGCATATGGCAGGAACTTGATTTCCTCTGGCTGATCACTCTCAAATCTCCCTGCCTGTGCATCAGGAACTTCACTTTATTTATTAGGAATGCGCATATGAGATCATGCATAGATAAAGCCTAGCTGTTGAACAACTTGAAGATCTGGCAGCATCTCTGTATTTAATATTATTTGCCTATACACTCTCCCCCATTATTTTTTTCTGCCAGAAGTCTTACAAAAATTAGAAATTTATATGCAAAATTCATCTAAAATACTTTCTTCTGCCTTCTCTTCTGAAGCATAACACCATTAATCTTAGCAAGTTTTATATTTTTTCCTTCTCTAACTTTTCCAGTTGCCAGTGCAAGTAGATGGGATTATATTTAGAACATTATTTATGATTCTATGATATTTTTCAGGTGCTATGACAGTTACCTCTATAAATGCTTTAATGGAACAGTTGTATCTAAAATATCAACAAAAACCGTGGACTGAAACTCTGAAACTTGTCCATTTTTGCATGGTAAGAATCTCAGGTTGGGTGAGAGAATGATGTCTAAGAGCAAGTTGCCAAGTTGGTTCAAAGACTGCTTAGCTTAGAAAAATAACAATAAAAATAAATAAATAAATCAGTGCCTCTTAAAGGCTGGCTTCCGATTTTTTCTTATGTGATGAAAATGTGGGCAGTGATGAAAAAGTTTATTGCATTGTTTTAATACTTCAGTAATTGTTTCTTGCATTATTTTAACTCTCCTGGGGTTAGTACTGATTGCCTGATACTTCAGATTGTTTCTATTCATTATCACTAGCATATTCGTGGTGAGTAAAGTTTATTTCTTACCATAGGACTGTTTTTTCAGACACTGTCCTGATGTGCTTAAGATGCCATTTGGAATCTCTTTGTCTGTGATATACCTAAGTTAGTGCATACTTCCTGTCCTTCTTTTGGCTTTATATATAATCAGTGGCTAATTATATATAAAGAGCCATCTTTGTAAAAGGCAGTTTAGCACAAGTGCTACGAGCTTAATATAAAAAGTCACACTTGCTTCCATGCTTCTCTTTTTAATGCTTAACTAAAGCGTTCCTCTGAAAATGATGCCCTGACTTTGACAGTGTTGAAAGCTTTTCAGCAGTGAGTGTTCTTCACAGTTCAATTAACAAAGTACGAGGAGTTTTCAGACAAGAACTAGAGGAGAAACTTGGAGATTTTACTTAACACTGAAGTTTATATTATATTCAACTAGAACTTACACCCTGACTCTAACAAAGGATGCCTATGGTGCTTACTGATCTCTTGTTTTCATTCAGATTTCTCCTAAAATGTAAACCTACATATTTTCTTAGTTAATCTCCAGTAGCATGGTAAAACAGCTCACATCAGGAGATATAGCCTGTGTTCAGCCTAAAAGCAAACGGAACAGAAAGCTGCTTTCTGCACCAAAGGCCTCCAAGTATGTAATTACTGCACAACAGGGTCTTCACAAATCCACTCAGTGCTGTCCCTTTAGAGAGAACTACAAGCATAGCTCACCTCTGTGTCTGACAAAAAGAAACATGTACTGTTTTATTGGACTGAGCATGAGTGTTCTGTATCCTATAGGTAGTGATGCTCCTCTTGGCTGGTAATTTAAGGGGTCTTTCTCTGTCTCTTGTTTTCATAAATGTGCTAGGATAAGCCACTTCGATGTCCTGTCAGTAACGATCCAGGCAGTCCACTGCTCTTGTGCATGGAGAAGATACAGAGGACATTAAATGGTAACAAGCTATCAGATATCTCTGAGAGTGTTTGTTCAATATTCTATGAAAACTGCCCATCCCTTTCTACTGGTGATGTTCTGCATGATGGGGCCAAGTGTACAAACACAGAAGTGGATATGATACGAGACCTGTGACTCATCTTTGGGTTAGGCCTTTGGGCTACAGATGCTCTCCAAGTCTGAGAAGAAGTTCTACCCCAGCACAGCACTCATTAATCATACTTGTCATTAATAACAAGAAGTCATGCAAGAGATACTATTTTCTTACTACCTAAAGCATTCCTTTTAAAGCAGGATAATAACGTTGCTTCTTCTTGATAATTGCAACCTAATTAAATAATATTTCCCTTCTTACAGCTAAATCTTTGTTTTCTATGATGAACAGATTGGAATCTTTATCCAGACAAAAAGGGTAAGTTTGTTTATGAATAAATGCAAATGAACAAGCATGCCCCCAGGTCCATTCAGGAACACTATCTGGATACTGTCAACAGTATTTTTGTAGCATGGTATTTTACTGGGGTGTATTACTTGGGGTGGACATAGCTGCCGCTTTTGATTAGCTTGTTGTGGAGGAGGTTGCTGGGTGAAGAGAGGGCATTCACATCTAGGTCCCAAAGCAGCAGACTGAAGTAAATAGTTTTCAGCAAACTGACATAATAATGCAAAGAACAGAGCAAGGTTGTATTGCCTGCTTGGATAGTTTTTAGAAACTGAGCTAAGGAAGAGTTATTTTTGAAGCATCCCTGGTGTCTCTTCCCATGACCAAGTAAACTATGCTCATTTCCTTTCTCCATGTGACAGAACTTTTAGATACACAAACTTTTTTTTTTTTTTAACTCTCTCCTTAGGCTTAACTCTCATGTTAGCCCCAGTGGGACTACCTGCTACATAACATCAGACATGTTTTATATTGAAGTGCAACTGGAGAAGGATGGAAACGTGATAGATGCAAAGTTGGCTCACCTTGGAGAGGCTCCCGTGGTAAAGTTAATTTTCTCTGTCTATCACCTCCTTGTAGTTTCCCACCTGGCCTCCAGCTGGCAATGTGAAGAAAGTTTTCAGCTTTGTTTTGGTCTTGTCACACCTGCTAGCCTCTGCATGACACCAGATGCCTCTTCAGGCACCTGAATCTCTCACTTAAACTAACAACTTGCTACAGATTTTAACTACTGTATTTCTAAAAGATAAAGTAAAACTCAGCTGACATGCCCAACTTGTAGGAAGTTTGTTGTAGCCTGCATAAATATTTGTATTCTCATACTTGATGGTATAAACATACAGTAAATAACAGGGTCTTGAAATACTTTCCTACCAAGATGTAGTGCATTATATGTTCCCAGTGGACATGTCTTTGGATGCCTTGGAGCCATTACCAGAGCTTCTGTTTTTCTTTCTTCCGTCTTTACAAGTATGTTCATTCCTGCTAATGAGGATTTTTTTTTTTCTTGCAAAAGTTTATAAAAATTAAAATATTGGCAAAATATCACTCTGCAGTTCATATACCATGTTCAGCAGTTGTCTGAAGTTACAGATGATCATTTGGATCAAAGTTAAAACTATTGGTTAAAGAATTGGTGCTGGTTAAACAGAAAAACTTGAAATTCCTGGGATGTCTGCAAATGAAAAAATGAAGTTTGGAATTTTATTGATAATAAAATAAATAGTAAATAATAAAATTGATAATAAAATAAATCAGTGCTGGACAATACTATTAGGATAAAAATACACAGCCAGAGAATTTTAGCACAGTAACTGATAGTAAAAGAAAAACTGGCAAAGATACATTTTTTTTTTCCTGGAATAAACATATCAACAAACTGTGCTAATTATATGCTCTCCTTGGAGCCTTTGTTTTTGTAGTTATTATGTTAATATTTTTTTAACTATCATAATATTATTGTTCAAAGATACTAATTATTTATAATTAATAGCTAATCCTATAATTACTACTGAAATGTTCTTAAGAGATGTTTTATACATGATAGTAAGAAACATGAAACTGTTATCTCCTGTTTCCCTAGATTTGTGATGACTTGGTGGAGCATCTAAGGTAAAAAATCACGTGCAAAATCTCTTGTTGAAAGCAAAGGAATTTCTGAGTCTTGTTTATCTGACTGCTGTGGAAAGGTCAAGGACAAAGTAATCTAAGTGCAGCAACTCAAGCAAAAAAACAATGCAAGAATGGGGAAACAATAACAGTCCAGAAAACAACAGGTGAACTGACGCTTTATTTTTGGATTTTATGTGAGAAGTTGCTCCACACTGGAAGGTTGGTGGTTATTGTTATCATCATTACCTGCTTCCAATTTGCAACTTCAAGGATAAAATATAATTTTGAAAAGGTACTCCAGACATCACTTATTTCTTAGGTCATTTCATTGAAGACAGCTAAATTCCATTTGCTTCTATGAGCAGCAGTGGGCAAAGAGTAGTTCCCAGTACATTGACTCTAGCTGCCAGTCGAACACAGACTTTGAATATTGTTATTTCTGTTGACTGCAAGAATTACACAACTACTTGGACCCGTAGTTTTGGAAATGGACTAATAATGGCAGCTCAGAACTGGCAGATTTACAAATTCAAACCATATAGTACTTTTCCTCTTCTCCTTCCATCAAATATGAAATATCCTTTGTGTTGGCCTTATGCAAATGTTTTAACTACACATTCTGCAGGCTTCTGTCACAGCAGTGAAAGCAAGGTGATAATACATGACCTATTTTTCTTCCCACATGTTTGATTTTATTATTACCACATCTTGCTCTGTCTGAACAGTTGCAGTTCCAAATCAGACCTCCACCATATGAGTCCAATTAGAAGCTCCCCAGCCAATCTTATCAGGGTTTACTATAATGAGCATATTTAAGAAACTGAATTATTATTTAAATGCCTTGTTCAACTCCAACAACTGAAAGAGAAGATAAAAAGAGGAAAGAATAATCATTGATCTTGCATATTTCATCTCTTTTATGTGGGCCTGTAATGCATAATCATTTTTTCCAGTCCTGTCCTCTTAAATGAAGTTATACTAGATTTATATGTATAAACAGCTAAGTCTTAGAGGTTTAACTTGCATTTTTGTAGGTTTTAGACTCTGATAAGTGTTAACTACCAGCAGTTTTTCTCTGAGTGGTGGTAGATAGCTACTGTTGGTACTATGGGTACCACTTGCCTGCCTTCCTGTTTTAATTAGGGTATTGCACGTAGTACAAGTATCACTTCTGCTGGTGTAATACTTCAGTTGGTCCTAAGGCCTTTTGTTGTATGTATAATTTTTCATGGGAGCTTCAAAGTAACTACAAACTCCTGAGGAACTATGCCTGATGCACAAGCTGGCACTGTACGTGTGCCTGTAACTACATGCCTGCCTCCTTCCCTTTCCCCTGCTTCTCCACTCTTCCAGTTGGAAAGAGTCACGCGTGAAGCAGAGTGACTTGCTTAGGTTTACGTGTGGAGGGAATTTGTCCCAATGCGGAAGTCCAGGCAGGTTTATTTTGTCTGTCTGCTGACCCGCACTGCAGCCATACCTGTACTGAAAGCAGAGCTATGACTGGAGCACAGCACTCTGTGTGACTGCAGCACCGGGGAGCTCAGCAGAGCACGCAGAATCCATTTAAGAAGATGAGTGAAGGGGTAAGCCCATGCTGTCACAGCAGTATCTAACCAGCTAGGCAGAATTCTGCAGGAATTCTGGTATTTGAGCAGTTTGAACCATTCCTTAACAAACTTATGCATCTCTCTTTTGATTTTTTTTTTTTTGGGGGGGGGGGAGGGGTCCTCTCTTTTTTTTTTTTCCCCTTGATTTATCTGTCAATTGTATTTTAGATCTTCCTCTCTCACAGGGTGCTGCGAAGAGTAGTATTAATACAGTTGTTGATAAGTTGTTGATATTTTGATGAAAAATACAATGTATGAGTGCATACTATTAGGGAAGTGTAACTAGATGACTAGCTTTATTGGAACATCAGGGACAGTGCTTGCAGTTGACGAACTACATATCAAACTGTCAAATTTGTGTATTGTGCACACTTACTGCTTTCAGTAATGCATATTAAACCAGTGTCAGCTATAATTACATTGCTTTTTGCAACAGAGCCAAGGATTCACATTTCCTGGTATCTTCTAAGAAAACTTAAAAGCAGTACTGCTACATGCCAGATCTGATAAGGAGGGGGCCTATGTCACTCTGTTTGAAATGGTGCTTTTTCTAACAAGTTAAATATAAAAGACTTATTATCCACCTCATTAAGTAGCACAGTAGTAATTGTTTTTTATTGGTAGGATGAAGAACTATGATGCTGTTGGAAAGATTCTAGAAAACCTGTCAAATCTGTATCAAATTCCAGGAAACAGGTTGCAACTAGTTTTTACTTGAAAAAAAAAAAAAAAAAAAAAAGAACTTAAAAATCCATAGTCTAGCTTTTGTTTAGTGACAAAACCAGTAATTTTTCTTCTCTCTCTCCCAGTGAAATGAAGGCTAAGGGATACCTTGCGTTGCAGTCCCTTGAAAAGGATCTTTATTCAATGTCTCTTCTAGACAGGTGACTCAAAGACTGCTTCATCTTCCCTTCCCCTCTACCCCCCACCCCTTCACTTCACTAAAAAGCAAGGCAGCTGATCTAGTTGTAGAGCATGATGTGGAAAGCTAATGAGTTTTCTTCCTCTGGAAAGCTAGAAGCCTTTCTGCAGTTTGCCAGCTCCAGGCATGCCAAACAAGATAATCTGCTGAGCTCCTGTTCTTTATCTAGTAGATTTGTGGTGAAACTGGTTGGTCGCCCAGCTTGGGTGTGTATGCATGTGACCACCCACTGGGAGCACACGGTGCATCTTCAAGTCAGCAGTCATTTTAAATCGCCCTTTGGCAGAAGTAAAACATGTCTTTAGGGGTCCTGCTCTTTGGATATCTCATTTTCTAATCAAGTTTTAAATCAGGACCAGGGGGTGTGGTAACTTTACCTATATTCTTTCTTTTTTCATTTCTTCTTTCTTGGAGAAGGTCTATAGATAAATGGGAACAGATTACCAGCAGTTTTAGAAGTAATTCTACAGTGATTTTCATTACCTTCAGAAAAGTAGAGTTGAAAGCACTGCTTTCCTTGATTTTTTTTTTTATTGTTTTAAGAGATTTTTTTCTGATATGTTGCCTACAAAATACTCTCAACAAGCATGGCCTTCTGTAACTTGAAACATATTCTTGTCCTGTTTTTTGTACGGTGCTCCCTTATGAAGCATACTAACTCCATGAACAAATGCACTGTCCTTGCTAATCATGCATGTCTCAGTAAATATTATGAGTTAAATAGATGATTTGTCCCTTCTATAACATCAGTTAATGCACTGCTGGGCTTTAATACACACCTATATATAATTGTATGTCTATGTATTCAGCAGTACAATCATATTTGAAGCTAGAGATTGGCTCCATTTAAGTTAGTTTATCCAGGTTGTTTCCTCTCTTTGCTCAACCTTTTCAATATTTCTGTAATCCTTCACTCTGGGTAAACAGTACAACAAATTTCAGTCAGAAATAGCTGAGATACAGGGTTAAAGCTGGAAGCCCAAGTTCTAGGATTAATGCACGAGTGTTTTGGAAGCTGTCATAACAAATGGAGACACGATCTACTTCTAAGAAAGCACCGTCTCCCTTTGATTAAGGGTGTAAATCATCCCTTATGTTAACCTAGCTAGCACTGCAACTCAGGAAACATTAATCAAGATGTGTTTTGCACTAGAACGCAGGATGTAAACAGAGTTACTGAAGTACTTCATGGAAAAGTAGGACACCTGGTGCCAAGAACCGGAGGTGACTTTTTTTTCTTCAAATAATAAAAACTGTATTGATCCTTGGTTATAGAAAATATCCTCTATTATATGTGTGCTGCATGGATTTGCTGTGTCTGTAGTCTCTGATACTGTACAGACATACACAAGGAGGAAATACAAAGCAGCCAGGTGGCTTATCAGCTACTGCAACACTGAGTTGCAGAAACCTGCAAAACAAAGCCAGCAATACTCTGAGGTTATGTGGGAAACCACATTTTGGGAGTAACCATGAGATGGCAGCCCTGATGTTGCCTAAAAGTCAAATACATTCAGCTGATTTTTTTGTCTTATCTATCCCATCAATAGTGAGCTTTGATTGTTGATGTATTATAGTTCATAAAAGTACTTCTAATACATGCTACTACTATGCCATTGCACAGCTTGATGTGAAGGTCCCTTATGCAAGTATTATGGCTTCCCCTTGTATTTTAGGCCTGTTGCTGAAAGCTAGCAGTTCAGCTAATATTTTTTTAAGACTGAACAATAGGTTATTGTGCAAGACAGAAACAATCTAATCTTTTGAAAGATGTCTGATGACTTCATATGCTGAGGGTTTAGCTGTAAAATGCTGTGATTTGAACATATGCTATAGTTAGAGATACACTCTTACAAGGCATCCCCTTCTGCCCATCCTGCATTTTTCTTTTTTTTCCTCTTTACATCAAGATACCTAACAGATTTCCTCTATTGATTTTTGTAGTAACTTTTTTTTTTTTTTTTTTAATTCTTCAGGAACTCCTACGAACATTGAATTTTACATTTCTCCGTATCAAATTCTGGAAGCAGAGCTCAATCCTGGTAAAGCTAGAAAACTAGAAATAACTAAATGAGTCAGAAATTTTAGTAAAACCATGCTTTATATTGGAGTTTCATTGCAGAACTAGAATGTTGTTTTTGTTTGTTTTGTTGTCATTTTTTTTTTTTTTTTGGAAGTGGAACAAGTTTGATTTCAAATTTTAGCTTAGCAGAATGATTTATGTGTGGCATTTCAGCACAGTTATAATGTCCATCAGCAAACTGCTTTCCTGTTGACACAAACTGAAGTGAGAGCAGTATCAAACAAAATAACCACCTAGCCAGCGCACACACACAAAACAGTGCTGGTTAGTTGATCTGTTCCATGGCATGCCCCAGCTATTGCTGCGCCCACCACTGGGCAAATTTGGCCATTTAGGTGTGGTTTGTGCAAGCTTCTCCTTGCTGCCCAGGTATTGTGGCAGTTAGTTGGACCTGACCTTTACAAGACCTTACCAATGTGTGTTTCATATGCATTAATCTACAACACCAGGAGGAAAATAATGCAATTGCCTTTCTCCTCCAGGTTCCCAGGTATGTGGAGCAAAAATAGATGTAACTGTTGAGGGCACGGATATGCTTCACAAACTTCCTCTTTCTCCACTGCTAGATTCTCAACCTGGAGAAGATGGGTGAGGTTCTGGATACTTCTGAATATGGAAATGGATTTACAGATTGTTGGCACTAACCCCAGCATAACTTACATTTAGTCTCTGTTAGGTGCGTGTGTCGATCTGCTCGAGGGTAGGAAGGCTCTGCAGGAGGATCTGGATAGGCTGCACCGATGGGCTGAGGTCAACTGCATGAAGTTCAACAAGGCCAAGTGCCGGGTCCTGCACCTGGGGCGCAATAACCCCAAGCAGAGCTACAGGCTGGGAGATGAGTGGTTGGAGAGCTGCCAGGCAGAGAAGGACCTGGGAGTGATGGTGGACAGTCGGCTGAATATGAGCCAGCAGTGTGCTCAGGTGGCCAAGAAGGCCAACGGCATCCTGGCTTGTATCAAAAACAGTGTGACCAGCAGGGCTAGGGAGGTGATCGTCCCCCTGTACTCGGCTCTGGTGAGGCCGCACCTTGAGTGCTGTGTTCAGTTTTGGGCCCCTCGCTATAAGAAGGACATCGAGGTGCTTGAGCGGGTCCAGAGAAGGGCGATGAAGCTGGTGAGGGGCCTGGAGAACAAGTCCTACGAGGAGCGGCTGAAGGAGCTGGGCTTGTTCAGCCTGGAGAAGAGGAGGCTCAGGGGCGACCTTATTGCTCTCTACAGATACCTTAAAGGAGGCTGTAGCGAGGTGGGGGTTGGCCTGTTCTCCCACGTGCCTGGTGACAGGACGAGGGGGAATGGGCTTAAGTTGCGCCAGGGGAGTTTTAGGTTAGATGTTAGGAAGAATTTCTTTACTGAAAGGGTTGTTAGGCACTGGAACGGGCTGCCCAGGGAGGTGGTGGAGTCACCATCCCTGGAAGTCTTCAAAAGACGTTTAGATGTAGAGCTTAGGGATATGGTTTAGTGGGGACTGTTAGTGTTAGGTTAGAGGTTGGACTCGATGATCTTGAGGTCTCTTCCAACCTAGAAATTCTGTGATTCTGTGATTCTCTGCTAATAGAATGGATATACAGCTCACTGTTAAGCCCAGGAAACTCTGTTTTATTGACAGCATTATCCCCCATAGCTATACCATGTATAACCTGTGGCTTTTACTGTTTTCCCAAGTGGACTTGAAAATTGTTGTGTTCATATTTAACTGTGTCAGCTACATAGAGTTATGGATTTGTTCATAGATTTGAAGCCAGAAGGAGCCATTGGGATAGTATTACTTAACCTCCTAGTATTCAACAAGCAACTCCCACACAGTTTCAGAATAAATGAAGCATGTATCGAGGGATATTATACCTAAACCATATAAAGTAGTTTGTCATCCCATCACGGATGCTGACACCTCATCTCTCGCTGCTTCAGTACAAGCCTGCAGGAAAAGTCTGAAGTCATTCTCCGAAATAAATCACTATAGACTGATTTAGAGCAAACATTCCTGTGCACTGTTCCTCAGTTTCCCATGGCTCACTCTTCCTTTCTGCCAATCTTCACATTAAGCTTGCTTTAAAACACAACGGTTGTACTTGCACTTAAAAAGTCAAACTTTTCTCGAAGCAGAAAAAATATGGATCATAGGAAACCACTAGAGACCTGATTGTGGCCTTGCGCTGTGTCCTTGTTATATCAATTTTTGTAACAACCTTTTTTTTTTTTCTTTCCCCTCCAGCAACCCTGCTTTTTTGCCACTGACTGATGAACTCAGCATGGATTTGTCTGCTTATTTTTTGTTGAAGTTTCACCAGCCTTTTCCTATGTCCTCATCCAGCATTGAAGAGATACAGAGACTCACAGGCATGTTACAATTATCTTTATGACTAAAAGTGCTTCTGTGACTGCTCATTACTTCCTTACTACGTTAGCATATGGAAATAGAGAGTAAAAACTGGATGATAGGTTAGGAAGTCTTTTGTCAACCCACGTGTAACATTTTAGCAGCTGAGGCAAACTTGTGAGCACTTTCTAAAATGTCTCATAGTTACTGATTGCTATCAGCAAAAGAGGAAATAAGATGGGAGGTTAATGTTTTCATCTTACTTATGTCTGTGCATTTTCAAAACTTTTGTTTTTAAATACTAGCTTTCGTGCCCAGACATAATCTAAAAGCTAATAAAAGTTATATGCTTTCAGGAATTCAGATTACTGGCTTGAAACTAGCTCCTCTATACGAGTTGATTGTTCAGTCTACCCTTAAGGAAAAAGGCAGCGAAGACTTGTTTACACACAAATCCCGTTTCTTTGTGGTGAGTAGACTGTTTGAAAGACACAACCCTTCTTGAATGAATATCCTGAAACATTTTTCTATCAACAAACAATCTTTCTCGTAATACCAAAGGGCATTTAAATACTCTTTAGGAAATAGTTCAATTATTTAGGAAATAATATTAAATTCTTTAAAGTAAATAAACTTCTCATATTCATTAACGAGACACAATACTCATAGCTGTTGCAGTCATAGTGATGTATCTATGTGTAACTCAGGATATTTACTCTTCTATGTATTGTTAAAAACTTTTATCCTTAAAAAGAAGTAAACTTGGTGCGAGAAATCCTAAGAAGGTACTTACTTAGACTTTTGAAGATGTTTATCACGCCACATGTCTATTACTGCTTTAACAAAAACAGGCTTCTTGATTGAATAACACCAAAAATATTGATTTCTTTGAGTAAAAGTAGCAGGAAGTACCTGTAAGATAGGAAGATATTTTTATTTCTATTAGTGAAACATGAAAAGCTCTATAACTTCAGTAGTTCTCTAAAATACTAATACTTGATGAGAGACTTTTTTTTCTCTGAGTTAAAGATTTTATTTCTAGAAGTGTTACTGAATAGAAATCTAACCTTGAAAGAAACACAGAGAAAATCCTTCTGTTCTGTAGACACACAGGGAAAAGCTATTCTCTTCTCTAGCTTTTCTTAATATAGACCTGGCTAATTAACTGCCCTGCCCTGTTCTTAAGGTGATAGTTCCCTTTTGGTATCCTAAAGTAGATAACGGAATATTGCACTTCCAATTTTATCATAAAATCACTGTCAACACAGACAGGTGGCAGATTTTTCTTACTTTCTCCTCCTCTTCAACTGAATCATCCGGAGATATTCTAGCCAAACATGCTTCTCTAAAGAAAGCAGCAGTGCTGGAGGAAGGACCAACAGATGATGCCCTGAAGAGCAAAACTATCCTATTTGTACAACAATCAAATAGCATTACTATGGCATTCTCCTGTGAGGAAAAGATCTTGGTTGTTACTGTTTCTACAGTCCACAAGGCTCTTAAGAGTTGTTGGAAGAATTGGACTTGAATTCCTGAGTACTTGGCTTGTAGCTCAAGGCATATTTCCCTAATCTGGATGCATTTGCGAGTGAAATGGATCTCATTTAGCTACTATCTATAGATTATACTTGTATTGAAATACAGACACGTGGTGGACTTGCTAGAAGTGTGCCTTCCCAACTGTTTTTGCTGTGAGATTGTGGAATCACCTGATAACATTGGGCCTTAATTCTTGTTATTTTCTCACTTCCAGTGCTTCAAGTATCACCATATCTGTTGTTCAGTCTCTTCCAGATAGCCCAAAGCACTGTTACTTCATAAACACAGGCTCAGCAAAATCAGACTTGGCAGGAGCCTTGGTCAGTAAAATCCCATTTACCCACCCAAAGTGCGTGCCTGATGTAATAGAGATTCTTCGACATCAAATGGCATACAACAGCCTTATTAGCAGCTGTGTCTCTGAGAAGCATACAAACGAAGGTAAATTGTGTGATTGGAAGTAATGACAGAATATGAGAGAGAAACTAGCTCTAGACTGGGTGTTAATAGATTTACTGCTTCCTTGCCAAAGCTGTCTTACTTGCAGAGTGTTTTAAGTGATCAAAAATGCTTAATTCTCATATTATACTCTGTTGAATATTAAAAACAAAACAAAACACAAACAAACAAAAACTTCTCCGAGGCCTGACACTTCCAGAAGGGTAAATCATGTTGCTAAAGTAATGAATGATTAGATTGTATTGTATCACTATTTTTAAAATTCTGGCATGTGATTCAGCCAAAAAGAGTCCAGGCTCATTGGGGGGATACCTCTAATTAGTAATTTTATTTTTAGATGATTCAGAACTGCTTTATTTTGAAGTGGCACCACACAAGAACACCAGCTTTTCTGTCTTCTTCCTTCATCCTATGAAAGAGAATTTAGCCTGTGGTATGTGTGAAATAATTGTTATTGGCCTTTTTATTAGGTTGGTTTTATGGAGGCTCTTGCGCTATGCTTCTCAGTTATAAATACTTTCTAAGGGCAACACTTAATGGCGTGCAACCCCATGAAAAGCACGAGGTAGCACTTCTGTATAAATTGCTTACTAAGAAGGCTCTGTACTCAGAACAAAACAAAGTAAATGCAAATACACAAGTCCAGTATCTGTCTTGGCCTGCAGTTAATTAAAAAAATAAATAAATTAACCTTTATTACTGACTGTTAGCATATTAGGAAAAAAAAATAAGCCTTGTACAAGAGCATTGCTGCAAGACCCCTACCCACTGGCCAGTCTTACCTTTCTTGAAGTATCAGAAAGAAAGGGAAGTCTTCATTTTTTGTAAAAATGTTTATTTTGAAATACTTATGTTCTGGTTTTGCTTAGTGATAATCGATGTTGTAACCTCCAGAGAAGTCCAATGTAGCCTTCATTTAAATCCTCGAGATCCAACTCTGAATTCTAGTGATGGCTTTATATCAAGAGCTGTGAAGCGGTAAGTAGTTTCATTTTGCAGCAGTTAGAATGAGTGTTATGTCCGTTCAATGGAAATGCCATGTGCATTTACAATGCTATAGACTCAGCTGACCAGACAAATTCACTTTAGTAAAAGGTTATAATAATGAGTTGTTTTAGTATCGTAAGTAATTCTTTCAAAAACAAACACTTCATCATTGATGTTTCTTTCCACTAGAATGTGTGTGTAGTACAACTAATAGAATAGTATGAAAAGGACTCTTTCCACATCTACCTAACATCAGTATTTCTTCTCTTTAAAAAGATATGTCTACAACGCCAGCTCTGGCATGTTTCATGAAACCGAAATTCCAAGAAAGGCCAGCTGCTGTGGCATATGAACATATGCTAGAGAAAGGACTAAGAGCACGAGTTCATTTTACATAGGTTAGTACACAACTATTTGACAGCAAAATCAATGCAGGCTGGATTTTGAGTCCTTTTAGTTAACTTGCCTTGTCTTGAGTCACAAGACACTAGATGCTATTCCTGGAACCACATACCTCTACTGGTAGAATAGAGGAGAGAAAAAAAATACACAAAATAAACACCTTCTCGTGTAGATACAGGTTTAGAGAAAAAAGGCTCTGCACCCATCTCATCCAAAACATGAAAATTACAATTAAATTTCAGTGAAAATGAGTATACTTCATTATTATGAGACTTTTCATTAAGAATACTTAACTTTTTTTTCAAAACACTTCTCACTCTTTCTATCAAAACATCTTTGCACTAGTAAACTGAAAGATTCAACACTTGGATTTGTTGCACCAAAGTAAGTTTCCAGTATAGCGTATGTAGGTAGTACTGTAGTTAGTGTAATCCTATTAGGTTACAGAGACAAAAAGCAAAGAGGGAGGGAGTGCTGTTTGTCACAAAGGGTATCACATAGGTGTCAGCCACAGTTTAAAAAAAGAAGTACTAATTTGAAGAATGGGTGAAGTCTGTAGTAATGATTAATGCTTTATTTCCTCTTTTAGATGCATGTCAGTCCCAGTTGTCATGAGAGCTATTTTCAGGAATGCTGCCAAGGTGGAAGCTGATAGCAAAATGCAAGTAGACACAAAACAAAAACCTGAGCCAGCATGTGAGCAAATTACTGATTTAAATAGTCTTGAGGAAAGTCCTTCTGTGGCTGGTCATCAAGATCTGGTAGTAACAGATAAGCAAAGTGTTCCGGACAGCCCAAAAGAAAATCTCTCCACAGCCAAATCGGAAGCTTTGGGTGATAACATGGAAAAAAGTAACCCCACAGTCAGCATGGAAACTTTGTGCAGAGTGGAGGAAAGTACTTCCACAGCTATTACAGAAGCTGTTATGAAAGATATGTAAAACACATAACCTATTGTTTAATAATCAAACAAGAAAGAAATACTTTCTCAGGCATAGATTGCTTTTGCAGAAGTAGTTGGAAAGAACGTGGCAAGCTCATTGTCTACTGAGTAATTTCTAAATGGAGTTTCCTGTTTATATACTATTAACTATAGAGAAGTAAGAGTTTTGATTTTACACTTTTAAACTTCCAAATTTGGATTGTTTAAAACTTCTCTAGTAACCTTTATTTTTTGTATGCATCATATTCTACTGTAGTATAGAAAAAATGTTTGATTTGTATAATGCAGGCTGTAACATGCCCTGTACAAAATGTTTATCAATGTCAGCATTGTGTTAAATAAACGAAGAAATCCACTATTTCAATAACAAGTTCAGTGGAAGACTCTTAATTGCACAGTTCCATTTCCTCATAGTGCAGAAGTTGTATGAATAGCAACCAAACTTACAGCTTAACTCACAATAGTCTTTAGTAAGAAATAGCCTTTAGTAAGAAAGTTACAAACTCATTCTCTGAAGAAAAAAAATCAAGTAATTTGTGCCTTGGCTTTTTCTAACTTCAAAGTAAAAATAAAATAATCACAAAAGTTTTGTATTTTTTAGTTAAGTCAGTTGTTCAAAACTTAGGTTTGTCTCTCTCTAGACCTACTTTATATCAGACACTGAAGAAAGTTAAAAGCAATGTAAAACAACTGTACTTCTGACTTTGTGTACATCAGTTTAATTACTCTGAAACAGAGACAGGTATTCACAAAGACAAGACTTCCTAACAAGTGGAATTTGCAGCTACAATTTAGGCAAGCAACAGAAAAAGAAGTCTAATACAGAAGGTTGGCACAGAAATACAAAATGCATCTGTGGCTGACCATGCTTTTACAAGACGGTGAATAAGCTTGTCTTCCTTTAAGAGTTTGGGGAAAACTGTGGGAATGAAGGGAAGAGAGTTGAAGGACTTGCAAAATAAGTACCAAAATAACACAAGAAAATTCATTAGACTAGAAACATATAGATGGGTTGTAACAGGGTAACAGCAGATAGTATGCTGTTAGAACAGCAAGACAATGGTATTGTCAGTAGTTCAGCATTTGAGAAGAGGGGTGTGCTTCCAGCAAAACTGAAAAACTAGAACTGATTTTTTTCATCCTCATACATTTCAACTGTGAGAGCGCACTCCATAGTGGTTACAAATGGCAAGAGTAAGAATTGAAAAACGTGTTTTTTTTTTTTTTAATATAGTAACCAGGAGAGTTACAGTACTTTGGAAATCAGCAGATCCTGTTCTATTTTGCATAGTCAAAATGTCATCAACAGTGGCTTATTCTGCAATAAGAGCTTGTCCATAGCACTGGGTTTTTTTTTTTTTCCAGTATTAGAGGAGGTTTTTAAAGGGACCCACTCCATTTCCAAAAGGATACCAGTAGAGAAAGCAAAGGTGAAATAACAGATTCTGTCACAGAGTACAGACATGTTTAGTAAATCAGTGGAGCGCTTTTAAAAATTATCTCCCTTTCTGTGAAAGGGATAATTAGGATGAAAACCAAGATTTTCTTGGCCATGAGCTGAAGCAAAGTAAGATTTCCAAAATAACATCTGCTGGGAAGTACTGGAATCCGACTTCCCTAAAGTGATCCTCAAAATAGGAATCCAATCCAGTTGAGATAATTTTAAATACCATGAAAGAGAAAAATTAATGTTCCAGTTGCTGAACATGATGGAGTACGTCCAGTGATAAACCCAGCTGCTCTACGAGCCAAACAGTTTGCTTTTTAACCCAAGCAAGGCTTGACCTTTCAGGATCTGTACAGAGTTTTGCCTTGCTGCACTCAGACTGCAAGGAACCATCCTCACCATTAGTTCTACAATAGTTTTCAGCAGAGCTGCCAACGTGTTCATATTTTTTGGTGTTAACTTCATCGTACTTTGTCCCATCTGGAGCTGCATGACTCAAATCCATGTCCTGAACAGCATTTAAAACGTCTCCCACATGTGGCTGTTGTTGGATAGAATTCAGACACTCAAGTAGATCATCTTCATGCTTTCCAACCACATCTAGAAGATTATTTATCTTACTTAAAGCAGAATTATGTCCATTAAGGTGGCACCAGGATGAGAGAGCACTGAAAAGTGAAGAAAAAAAAAGTAATTACAAATAGTCACACGGATCTTCAGTTATTATATAATGTGAATTAATATGTCAATATATTATTGACAATATGTCAAAATTATAGTGCATGTCATGTATATTATTACATTGAATACTGTATATAGCTCATTGCTATATAAAAGCTTATGTATGTTTCATTTGCATTTTCTGGGAAATTGACACAGTTTAACTGAATATTAAGCTTTAAGATGTAACCTCAGTTAAAAAAGCAACCAAAGGAGGATTTTTCTACACCCTTGTAGTTAATTACCTGAATTTATGACCTGAGCTGAGTCTTCTCTGGTTGCTCGCTTTGGACAGACTTACAGTACAATTTTAAAAATTAAAACAAACCAAAGAAAGCACAACTGCGCACACACACACACACACACCTTTCACATGCACACAATCCTAAAAGGTTCATAACTTACTTCAGGGTTCCTCTGTACTGGCCACACGTAACCATCAGCTCAGCACCTTCCCTGTAACCTTGATTGAAGCCTTCTTGGAGCGCAAGTTCTTTCCCAGCCTCAACACCATCCCTAAAGCCCTCCTATAATAGAAATAGTGAAAAAGGCTTTTCACAATGTGCACAACTGGACCTGTGAACATTTCATAAGAACATAAGAACATTTCATAAGAACAGAAAAGCTTAAACAAAAAACTCAGTCTCTTAAATTACAGCTTTTTGACTTGAACATCCCTCCAAGATATACCCCCAGTGCCAAACCAAAACATCATTTTGTGATGATGTTTTTTTTGTGTGATATCATTTATCGATCTGTTAGTATCTAGTCCTTTTCCCAAAAGATCCCAGCTAGGTCAGAAAATAGAGAGCATTTTTTGGAAACATCAAAAATAAGACAAATCTGCAGGACAACACTCTTGCTTTTGTGATGACCCTTATGAAAAAACTCCTTGGAGAATACCTCATACAGATTTCTAGACTTTTAAAAATACATAGGCTGCAAAACCTCCCCTTTAGCAGAGGTACTCACCTACCCATAACCTACCCATCTGTTACAAAACTAATTATCGAGCCTTCAAACAATTCAAGATTTATACAGGAAAAAAGATGGTGACGGGTAAATCACACAGAAAAATACATAATATTGTGATTGCTTTCTGCAAGAAACAGCTAATGATTATGATGCAAATTTATTTATTTATCCTCTAATCACGTTAGTACACAATGTAGAATAACTATTAACTCTTTTCAACTTGTAAGACTGCAAACTTCTATTTGATCATGAGAGAATCATGGTGGACTTCCTAAGAAAATAGCCAGGAATAGGAATATCGCTTTATTTTGTCCAACATACAGCTCTGACCTCAAGAAATTTTATGATTTTTGTAGTATCTACTCAGAAAATTTCCAGAGGAATTTGTGTAAGAACAAAAGAACACCAGTCTTACAAGGGCCTCCAATTTAGGAAACTTTTCATTGGAGAATAATGGAAGAGTTGTCTTGTAACACCCCTTACCAATGGCACACACAACAGGTTCTATTCACGTTCTTCAGCCAAATGTTACTCACCCACACACAGATGAATCCTATTGGTCCTACTGTGAATAATAACATATCTGTCAAAGAAACTCAGGCTTGTGTACTTGTTTTATTCTCTCCTTTCATAAAATATATTTTTACTAAGAGAAAAAATAAGCTGAAGAACCACACGGACTGCAATGAGCAACAGTGGTTCCACAAGGAATCACACATCCTAAATCTCTCTACTGTATTTAAGAACTCTACTTAAAAACAAACACCTTACATTCTTTGTTAGCATTGTTTAACTACATTGTCCCACATTTACTAGTGGCATACCTACAAGTATGAAACAAATAGTTCACATCCATTTAGTGCTGCCTTTTAGAAGTTTGCGTGGTTGTGCAGAGGGATGCAACGTCTTTTAGGTAAAATACTAGTTTGTTCTGACAGGATACTAGAATAGTAACTCCCTGCTCAATCGTCTTGACATTCAGAAGAAACCATGCCACAAAAACTTCTATGCAGCCATTATTCTTAGTTTTCTGTTTAAGTCAGCCACATATATAGCAAGGTATGTATCAATAAATCTGAAATGCTTAAGACAACTATAAACGTCATGGTCAGGGAAATACCTTCAATCTTTTTTTCATGGTGCTGTTCCATTCTTTCTGTACTACACACATCTCGTCTGCATCTTCATCAAATATATCTTCAATGGATTGGTTGACTGCAATTTGTACCCAAGACATTGCAGCAGCGATGACTCTAACCTCTGTTTACGTGGTAAAGCAAACACTGAGAAACTCTCAGAAGTCACTCTGGCTAAGCATCATTTTGGAAGTATAGGCAAAAAAAATGTGAGATCTACTGAGAAGCCATTTCAGGAGCTGATTATTCAACCTGTACACTTGTTTCCACATGGAAAGTGAGTATCATTTACCATTGGGGCACATCTGTCAAAAGAAGACGACAAATTATCACTGGTAAAGCAACTTACTTGATTTACAAGGACAATTTAAGACAGTAATTTCTTTCCTTCTTCTTCTAGCAGTAACACACATATCAAATTAACATTTCTAAATGTTGCCAGTACCTGAACAGCAGGCAGAAACAATTTATAACTTGATTCTGATGGCAGCCAACAAATAATCCCATACAGCTTCCACAAAGTGCTTTAAGATTTACACATATCTAATGCCTGCCATATTCTGACCTTGATAACTTACAAGGACTTTCACCTTTGATTTTCCGTTTCCTGGTTATGCCAAATGCTTAATAAGATAATCCAATTCTGTTTTCTTTTCTTTACAACAGAACTTGCTAATTCCTTACTCATAATAATATTTTTATTCAAGAATTATGAGATTACTCCATTTTTTTGCACTGAGAAAAACCTAAAAAGCCATTCATAACTAATTAATTACATTGATAGAAATTCTTACCAACCACAGAATGCTGTTTCTTGTGATTACTTGTTAAAATCAGTACAAGGAACTGACAACAAATCTCACTTTTGGGATCATTATACACCACTTTTATCTTCAGCAAAGCTTTCATGATTATTATTATTACACTCGGTGTTTAGGGAGGGATTACGCAGTTGAACAACTGGTACACGAATTTCAGCTTCTCTTAGAGTTCACACAGACCTCTAAGGCGAACTGCTTCATCTCTTATCCCTTCCAGCATCCAACCACGTATCAGTGAAAGCAGCCAAATTAGTACCACTTCACAACAGCGTTTCAGGCTTAAGAAGCTACTGTTTCAAAACATTCTGAGACGGTGGAACACTTGTTGCCAGATCCATACTTAGTTAAGCCATCTCCAAGCCGAGACTCGCACGGCGTTGCCTCAACACGGCACCAGCCCACCACTGCAGACCGCCCTCGATGCAGCCCGGCCGCTGCACCCTTCCTCGCCGCCTTTTTCGCAAGGGCCGCGGCCCACCCCACTCGGCCCGGGCCGGGGGGGCCGCGCTGCGAGAAGCTTTCGGCCCCGCCGCGCTGCCGGCCCCGCACGCGCTGCCGGCCCCGCACGCGCTGCCGGCCCCGCCGCGCTGCCGGCCCCGCCGCGCTGCCGGCCCCGCCGCGCTGCCGGCCCCGCCGCGCTGCCGGCCCCGCCGCGCTGCCCCCTCACCAGAGTTCCCTCACCAGTGCGCCGCCATTTTAACTGAGGGCGAGCTGGCTTCACTGCCGTCGGACGCAAGAGGGGGCGGCAGCCATGTTGGCCGAGGGCAGAGAGCCGCCATCTTAACCTGCTGCTCCCCGGCTTCAGAGCCCGTCCCGCGCATGGGAAGCCGGCGGCCATCTTGAGTGCGGGCGCGGCCTTGCGGCCTCCTTCCTGAGGGAGGCGGGACGGGGAGGCCGGGCTCTCCTGCCGTGCCGAGGGGCCGGGCAGCGGCGGGGAAGGGGCCCCGAGGGTGGCCCTTAATGCGGCCCCTCTCCTCTCCATCCCTCCGGAAGCAGGGACGTGTCGGGGCTAACCCCGAGGGAGGATGTGAGAGTGGGATTTAGGACAATTTTCAGTAATAAATTGTGGAATACATAAATAAATAAATAAATAAATAAATAAATAAAATAAATCCACCTCGTTGGCTTTTGAAACCTCTTGCGTGTCAGGCGTGCCCTCAAGCTGCCCTTGACAGCCACAAGATTTGGACGTCACAGTAATAAATCCTTTTTAATAACAAGGGTGCTAGCAGAAGTCAAGCGTTTCATTGTTTGCTTCTCTTAGAGCAAACAGCACCATCATCTTGACATAAGTACAGCAATTATTTTGTGTTTTCCTTGGTACACGCTGTATTTGGAATACGAGTTTATGCTTATGCTCACCAGGCTGGTGAGACTCACCGTGGCAGAGCAAGAGAGGCTGCCATGGGTGGCAGCAGAGCCCATCCTAGCACCGCAGGCACAGAGGGATGAATGATCCCATGCTGTGACTCAGCCACAGCACTCCTTCCCTTTGTCCTTTTCATTGTGCAGGGACAGCTTGTCCTGCTCACAGCCCTTCTCAGACACTCGCTGCTGGTTGCGTGCTGAGGTGTGAGTGGCCAAGGAGCCCAAATATGTCTAGAAACTGGTGTGTTGGGGGATGAAGCAACACTGGTGCCTCTGGATGGCCAGAACCGTGTATATCTGTGCACTGGTAGTTATTATATATGGCCATAATTGCTGATTTCCTAGACCAGTTCTATCACTTCCATGTCCTGTGTGGTAGAGATTTGTTTTGACATTTTTTTAAACAGGCAACAATGCTGAATACAGCCTGAATGCACAAACACAATCACAAAAGAGCCTTACAGCAACAGAAACTCATGACCCTCATGACTGGTCATAATGGCATTACTAAACATGAGTGCTCCCTCCCTGTACAGCTGGACCAGCTCTACACCTTACGTATCACCTTCTTTCCCCTTAGCCACTTGCTTTTCTAGAATAGATGCACAAGTGATGACTCAGACTCACTCTGAGTTTCCCCAAATCAAACTATTTCAGTTTAAATGCCTTACGTTTACCATGGTTGATCATTCTACACATATGTCTGTTTAACATAAATCCTTATGACTATGAGAAACAACGAAGAAGGGTGATATTCCTACCCCTTTCTCTTAGAAGTTGTGGGTGGATAATTTGGTGACTCATATTGTGTGCATAGAGCAGGACTACGGGGTTATGAAGTACACTTGCTGCAGACAAGTTGATTGTATGATGATGGCCTTGACAGGGCTGCTAGCAGGGCTCGAGGGTGAGGTGTAGTGCCTCAGTAGGGATGTTTTTCACACCTATGTGTGTTCTAAATACAGCAATGCCTGTGTATTATGGTGACATTCTGTCACATTCTGAAGGATCAAAACACAAGAACATTTCACAGGGTACAAAACAGTTCTGGCGTTTCGGCAGAATAAATCTATAGGAAGAGTTACCCCCAAATGGCTTTAAAAATAAACAAGTAGTTTATTGTGACCTATCTGGCTAAAATCTGAGGGAGGTTTCAGGGGACCTTTACATGGTCATGCAGAGCCTAGGGCTACCAAGAGATTGTTGGAGATCATTAAGAAAGATATCTGTGAGTCTGGTCTTATTGTTAAGTTCTGCCATTAAGCAATCAATCAACATTGATCTCCAAAAGTAAAATATATGAAAGTACCAACAGGGGCTGCTCCTTTACACAGTTACCACTGTAGGTACTGCTTCAGATAAAGGATTGTTGCCGCTCAGATCAGTACTACGTGCCCTTGTCTTTCAGTCATCAGGGCCTCAAACCCAACCTTACAAGAGCAGCCAATGGATTTCTTCATAATTCACAAGAACATCTCAGGATTTCAGGCTTTTTTGAAGGGTGGTTGATTACCGTAGCCAGGACTTGTGTAGTATATGGGCTACTATGAGAGGCAGGATTATCAAACCTTCACCAGGGTAATTTCCATTGTACTGTTCTGCTGTCTCTGACAGAGTTGAGCTAAGGCTTGTGAAAGTCCCAGGGTAGAAGACTATTTACAATGAGATTACCCTGTCAGTTATTCTGTCCTGCTATACTCTGGTAGAACAATGTTTGTTGTCATGAAACAACAGAGATGCATTTCATTGGCTCTAATTTGGGGAGTAGTTTAATTGTTTTAAGAAATCGCGTATCTTAGATGGTATTTGGATGGATTTCAAGAACACTGTTAAATCACAGTTCACTTGTTCTCTATAGTAAACAAGATTAAATCATAATGGATAAGGAGTGAGATATTGAAATGTCAGGAGAATAAAGACTATTAATATTTAATAAAACCAGTACATGCATTGTCATCAAACATTGCATGATGTTTCTGAGGAGTCTTAAACTATAAGTCCCTCCCAAGACATGTGTTCTGCCTATGGTCTGATCTGTATTCCTTTCCAGGTATCTGGCTCTACTAATTGTCCAGATTCTAGGCTGTTGTCCTTGAATATTTTGAAGAACAGGGCATGAGGAGGCTTGCCTGCATAAACAAGAACAACCTATTCATGTTCACATACAGCCTATGTCTGTCCTGATCTTGTCTGTTCTGCGCATTTTCTCTTTATGCACATTTTCCCTTTGGTAGGGTTCTCTACTACCTGCTGAATGTTGCAGTAATAATATAGTGACCTCCGGTGCTTGAAACCTTGGCTTCCAGACCCGCCACAGAGAAGGAACGTGACAAAACCAGTGAGCTAGCAGGTAAACTGCAAGGTCATAAGCTTAATGAGGTTTTAAACATTACAGCTCACAGCACAGGAGACTACTATGACCTTAAATTAAACAAGAGGATCAAAATAATGATTATTACCAGGGAATTGTAATAAACATACATTTCTGTGTTTTCCTATAACATCTCTCATTTTGGATGTTAAGGTGATTTACTAGTAAAGCCTTATCACCCTCTTGTGATGAAGGTAAGTAATACATAGGAATCACTTCCCTGTTTTTGTGAAATCACTTCCCTTTTATTTAATAACATACACTAGTATTACACAACTGTTTAGGTCAAAATGTCTCATTTATTGTCAGAAGAAAATGGAAGAATGTGGAAGAATTAATGAATATATCAAAGGTTAATGCCTGACATTTGCTTCAAAGCACCACAGGAATCTTAATGACTATTTTGCCACTACTTCTCACACAAGTGTTTTTCAGGGAGAGGGTAGTTACCTGTCTCTTCCTTCCCCTGAATAAGCAAAGCACAGAATTTTATAGTTAAATGTTATAGCAGGGCAGTTTTTGTAGGTGTTGAATCATAACCATTTCAGAACCTGGCTAAAGGAGAAACCTTTCCTGAATATTCCCTGGCCTTCCAGCTGTTTGTCTTGTGCTGAATACTAAATGGAAGTGGTTAAGCAAAGGAATATTTTTTCCCCTGCTTTCCCCAGGCTTGCTTTGAGCATCCCCAGGGAAGCCAGGCTTGCAGTCTGAAATACTGTACTCTGAACTATTGTGTATTAACAGAGCAGCAGGTACACTTTATTAACTCTGATGCAGTTCCCCTTCATCTGTCATTTTCCTTGGTTTTCTCCTCAAATGAGTAAGGTTTGTTTTTTCCAGACATAGTCCATATTTTCATTCTGGAACTTCAATAACAACTCCAACACTGGAGGGAAAAAAAAAAAAAAAGTTATGGCTGAGATCAAAACAAGCTCAAAACAAGCTATATATGCCATCTCAAGATTAATGTTGACAGAGTATAATATAGGACTACCCTGTGCCTCTTAGATTATACAATGGATATGCAAGGAATATTCCTAATTGTCTGTGGATCTTCAGTCTGTTGATAGTGAACCATTTTTTTTCAGTGTGAAATTACACATGAGCAGAATATTAAGTCAATAAGGAATAGAAAATATAATAGATCTTAAATTAAACACATTTTAGTTTCATGGCTGTATCATGCTTCTAATGAAACTAACACGAGTAGAGTGTGACTCCTCTCTTATCGCCAATAAATCAGAACTCCATAGCTCTGTGACTCAGATATCCTTCAATTAGATTTTTCTGTCTTACTGATTATTATTATTTTTTTTTAATGCAGAGCTGCCTTTTGTGTTTGCATAATAATTGATTGAAATGCGCAAACAATTACTGTAAATGTTATCGGTCCAAGGAAACTGCTGGATTCTACCTACAAATTTCCCCAGTGAATTGCATCTCCGTTCAAATCCCACAGACTTTATATCACACTTGCATTGCTTCAACAGGAGAGAAATGCTAGCTCTTTTCCTTTGGCTAACAGACGAATTGCCCTCTGTTTTATCCCTTGTATAAACTCAGGCAAATGATGAAAAACTGCAGGAATAGCAGCTGTACAATGCTGATCCAATTGTCTGAAGTGAATGGAACTGCTAGAAGGCATAAAACTTGTGGAGTGCGCTGATTTCTTTGGCACCTGAAACCACGAGAAAACAATTGTTTCAGTGACAATGCACAGTCTCTGAAAGGTTGAGGTTATGACAAGGGTGGTTAAATGGTGGCTTTTGAATTGCATGTGGATTGTGAACAATACCAGTACAGCATGTATGCCATATCTGAAGCTTATAAT